TTTAAGTTGACTGGTGAATTTTTAAGTTTTTGCCTCCAGGGATTTAATTCTTCCAAGTTCTAAATCATCCTTGGTAGCAAAATGGGTAAATTTGAGAAAACCCACCTTAACTTGGATGGCTACAGGGTCACTAAGTGTTAAGAGTTTTCTGTTTGCCAGAAAACATTGTATCAGCTTTTGGAGGTATATACTCAGATTAGACATATTTCAGGAATCGGGAGAATTGGATATGATGGCTTTACAGTGCTTCCTACTTGTAACTAGGGTGGTGCAGGTAAAGATGGGAAGAAGCGGGAATCATGTAGTGATTATTTCGGACAGTCAGAGATAACCAGGAAAGCCACATTTTTTCCCCCTGTAGTACTGGCTGTGGTGTGGATTGTGAGACACTTCTGAGGCATTGCAGGTTTATTGAGAACTCACACCATCTGTCTGAGAAAGGCTTGTAGGGCACTTATTTAAATGCAGGATGCTGGGTCTTCTGCCAAGTGCAGGCCAGAATGCCCTATGCCAGCCCACCTGCATGCATGCTGTCTGATGTGGGTTCCACTGGTTTTACTTTATAGTTTGAGTAGCAATAATGAAACCATTATTTTAATAACATGTTAAACAATAACGTCTTCCTTAGGAGTGATAGCTGTTTTTCTTTTTTCATTATCTTTGGAAGCAGCTTTTCCTGAAATTTCTAAGCAGAGATTTTTCTTTCTTTTCTTTTTTTTTTAAAGCCTAAAAATTTCCTTACAAGAGGCAGAGTAACTATCCCTGATTCTTTGAGCATCTTACTATTTTTCAGATTCCTGTGGGATCAGAAAGCCTATCTGTCAAGTTGCTTCTTTTCTTTTTTACATGTAAAACAATACCACACCGTCAACCTTTGTGGTTCCCTTAAGAGCTTGCAGTCATTTTTTGAGTTATAATTTAAAAATAGCCATTAATCTTCATGACATTTCTCTGAGACAGGTAAAGTTACTTTAATGAAAATAAATACTGAGATCCACCTATGATATTCTCATCAACAAGAGTATATCTTCAGCAGGAATGCTGCTCCTGTTGTTTAGACAACAGGTATTCTGTGGGGGCAGTAAGAATGCTTCCATCTCTGCTCATTTTACTTTCAGTGTTTTTGTTATTTGGCACATACGACTTACTAAATATTTGGTCATTACTTTAAGAAAGCATGCCTACTTTACCCCACCCACCAAAGCAAGGCTGTCTTGCTCTTTCCTCTCATGGGCAAAAATGTGAGTGGAGAGCAATTGAGAAAGTAATTGATGAAGCAGGAGGTACTCACTGTTCCTGAGCTCCTAAAGATCTTCTTTTCATAATATTGTTTTTTATTGGTACATTTTTTTCTGTGGGGGTACCAGGGATTGAACTCAGGGGCACTCAACCTCTGAGCCACACCCCAGACCTATTTTGTATTTTATTTAGAGACAGGGTCTCACTGAGTTGCTAAGCACCTTGCTATTGCTGAGACTGACTTTGAACTTGCGATCCTCCTATCTCAGCCTCCTAAGCCGCTGGGATTACAGGCATGTGCCACCATGCCCGGTTGTCTTATTGGTGCATTATAATTATACACAGTAGTGGGATTCATTGTTACATATTCGTACATACATGTAACATAATTTGGTCAATTTTATTTCCTAGGACTTCCCCTTTCCCTTCCCCTCCTCCCTCCCCCTGGCCTCTTTCTCTACTCTACTGGTCTATCTTGTATTTTCATGAGATTCCCTTGCCTTCTTTCCCCCTTTTTCCCCTCTGGCTTCCACATATGAGGGAAAACACATGACCCTTGACTTTTTGAGTCTCGTTTATTTCATTTAACCTAATACTCTGAAGTTGTATCCATTTCCCTGCAGATATCATACTTTTGTTCTTTTTCTTGGCTGACTAAAACTCCATTGTGCATATATACCACATATTATTTATCCATTCATCCATTTATGGATACCCATTGTTTGGCTGTTGTGAATTGTGTGGCCATAAACTTGGATATGCATATATCACTAGAGTATGCTGACTTTAATTCTTAAGGATAAATACTCAGGCGTGATGTATCTGGGTTGTATGGTTGTTCCATTCTTAGTCTCTTAAGGAATCTCCATACTGATATAAAGGTCTTTTTAACCCCAGAACCATGTTCCTCTCCTCTGCTTGAATGCAAGATTGAAGAGGAAATTTTAGTTCCATGATATATGGGAGGAGAAGGAAGATGCTGCATGTTTTGAATCTTAGCTCAGTCCCATGATTTCCTCTGGAAATTCCTGGAAGATCAATATCTTTCTCACAGGGAATATTTGATTTTGCCATGCTGTGAGGTTACCCATAAAAAGTTTATATCCATGTGAGGTAGGGGATTCTGGCTTCATAGAGGCCATCACTAGAGAGTATAAAAAATGCCTAAGAATGGTCGTATGGTTTAGGAGTGGGAATAGGGAATGATTGAAGATGAATCTTTCTGGTAGAAAGATTCTAAAATTGGATTGTGGTGCTGGTTGCACAACTTTGTAAATATTCTAAAATCATTGAATTACATGCTTAAGATGAGTGAATCTTATGGTTTCTAAATTATACTTTAATAACATTGATTAAAAAAATGCCTGGGGCCGGGATTGTGGCTCAGTGGTAGGGTGCTCGCCTAGCACATTTAAGGCTCTGGGTTCAATTCTCAGCACCACAGAAAATAAATAAATAAAATAAAGGTATTGTGTCCAACTACAACTAAAAAATAAATATTAAAAAAACCCCTGAAATTTGGGATCTCTTGAAAGGAACTCCTGTCTCTCCCGGGTAGCCAGGTGCCATAGTGCCATAACTCTCTGGAGTACAGCATCACATCTGCTGAGATTACTTAATATTCTCAGGGAAAGTGTGGGAGGAGGAGATGGGAACAAGGTGAATCTGCCACAGGGAGGGTGCCTGTGATGACAAAGTGAACTGAACCACAAGAACTAAGGTACATCCCTCTCCAGAATTGAAGGCTCACTCTGAATCACCGTGACTCTTTTGTTAGGTTGACAACAGTGCTTCATAGTTGGAATTCTTACCTTAAAATCCTGTCAGCCCTTGTAAACTGCCTTGTAAATGACTCGATCAAATGTACAGCAAGGAATTTGGATAAATATGTTACGTGTTTATGTATAATGTCAATGTGACTAATGTAACTTAATTACCATTTTTTTGTTGGGTTGCCATTATTTAATAAGGTATAGAAAATATTTAATGAGATAAATTTTGAGAAAGATTTTCTACCTCTTAATTTTTTTTTTGTGTGTGTGTAATGTTTTCCTAATTCCTGAATGAAGGCAACCCAACTTTCAGTGTTTGATTTACTGAAGAAATGGGTTGGCTTGATTACTTGTATTGTTGAGACTTGAGATAAAGCTGCAGGAATCCCTCAGTAACTGGAGCGCAGGAAACAATTGACACTGTTTTTTAATTCACATTGTTTCTGAGACATTTCCTACTTCCTAGTATAATATAGCTTTCCCATGAGAACAATTTGCTTACAAATGGTTAGACATGATACATTTCTCACTGGCACACATTCTGTGGGGAGAATGTCACTGTGCTTTATAGTAGCAAGTTGCTGTGTTTCTGTGAGTGTTGGGGTGGGGGCTCTGCTTCATGGAGACATGCTTGCAAATTCATTATTCCAAGTATCACATATTTTCTTTTGAACACTGACCCATTCACTTAGGGTTCTCCATCCCTTAGCTGGACTCTTTCTTGAAACAGCACATAATTCTTTTGACCTTGCCAATTGAATGGAATAGCCTCGTGGATTATGGTGTTTTTAGATACGCTTGATGAGTTACCATGGAGAGCAGTTCACAGCAATTGACATGGGAATACTTCATGCACATGGTGGTATGTGAGATAATCTGTGGCATTGTAAAGTGTCATCAAGGAGTAATTCCAGAAATGGGAAATGAAACCCTCAGTTGAGATAATCCAATATAATTTTCAGTTAAAAGTGTATACATACTTCTGGAATGATCATTCCCACATTCAGAAGTTATGCTGTATATAAAGTGAAATTAAAAGTTTCCCAACTTTTTTTTTTTAAAGATGTGGAACTTTGAGTTCCCTTTTTTTTTGTCTTATCAGATTTTATAAAAATAATACCTCTTGTCAGTTTTGCAGCTCCTTCCATCTAGAGAACTGAAAGCACTCACAATCTTTTTTCCTCTTGCCCTTCTCTTCAAGGCAATTTTTTGCTGGGCTGAGTTTATTTTTACCATTGCAACAACCAGTTTTTAGAAACTTTTGGAAACGAAAAAAGAAAAATGAGAATGGCACTGTAGCTGACATTCATTTTAGCTGTTTCCTAGTGTGAACATTTGAGTATTTCTAAAATCTTCTCTCCAAGTATGTCTTATTTTTCTCAGTTTGTCCCAATTCTAAGTCTCTGTTCTGCTGATAGGGTAAAAAAAAAAAAGAATTTATACTGTAAAACCTTATCCTCAGCAAGATGACTTTTTGAACTTGGAGTTTAGATCTTTATTTTTGCAGCTCCAACAGCTTCTTTTCCAGCACCCAGTCAAAATAATCACAGTGTCATGGAAGTTAGAACCAGAAAGGCCTCTACGGGTTCCCAGTTCAAGCCTCTCCTTATCTAAATGATGAGATTGAGGCCCACAGTGGTTAAGAAACATGCTGAAGGTCATAGAGCTAGTTGGTGGCAGAGGTATGGCCAGAATCAAGGATTCCTGATTTCTAGTTGGGTATTCTTTGGTTTTCTTCAACAAAAGCCATCTATCTGGACAGAGCTGGAGCACATCCTCATAGAATTCTAATGCTACTCAACAGGTTGAATCACACACTGCGACTAACTAAAAATGGGGAGAAAATTCAGTTTTTCCAGTTTGAGTTAATCAAATATAGAATAGTAACATTGAGTTCATAGACCATTTCTCTGGCCTGTGGATCTTGTGTGATTTGTATTCAGCAGAGAATACGATTTAGAATGACTATTATTTGTGTACTTTCTTTAGGCCACCATACCATCTATATTGGGGTCCACGTGCCCAAGAGCTACCGGAGAAGAAGACGTCACAAGAGAAAGACAGGGCACAAAGAAAAGAAGGAAAAAGAGAGAATCTCTGAGAACTACTCTGACAAATCAGATGTGGAAAACGCTGATGAATCCAGCAGCAGCATCCTAAAACCTCTCAGTGAGTACTCTTTGGGGCTTGGTGCCTCCCTCTGCTTTACTGCCCATCCTCGGGAAAGACCCTGTCTAGAATCCTGCAGATAATAATATGTCTGCTCTAAAGGAGAATGTCTATGGAGATGCTTTTCTTGTGCTGGTAGATTTATCTAGCAAGTCATCTAGAAGATTCTGAGTTGGTCAAAGAAGATCTGACAGAGTTTAGGCATAGTTGTGTATTCTACGTTTTTGACAAGTGAAATAGGGCAGACTGTTACTGATGGTGTTCAACAGTGACTGTAAACTCTTAAAATAACTTTTTGGATTTATTACACCTGCTTAGAAATAGGTTGCATTGAGACAGTAGGTTAAGATGAGAGTGTATGCATATATGTGTGTGTATGTGTGTGTGTGTATTTATATCTTTACAAATGTCAAAGCTGTAGATGACATTAAACTAAATGGTTGGCTAGGTCAATGATTTGAAAAGGAATAGTGGAGAAGCATCCTATCACTCAGAGAAGAACATAGATGACACAGCTCTTGAAATGTTGAACATAGTAGAAGTCATGCATTGTGTAAAAATGTAATGAAGAAGAGAATAGCAGGAGGTCAAAGCATACCGCTAGACTCTGGTGATAGAGTGAACTGTGTGTTTAAGGCATATGTTTATGTTGCTTTTTTTTTTTTTTTTTTAATGTGGGGAATATTTGGCTGCACGGATAGCCTTGTGGCTGAAGTGAGAATGAATATGTGCAGCAGAAACATATGCCAATTTTGGGAGATTCCCCAACAAGAGTTACACAGTGACAGCTTTTCCTGTTGGCAGAGCTCTGTGCATTCTTCATCTCTTTGCTACAGTTGCAGAAATATGGACCCTGTAATAAAATGCATTATGGGTGGCACAGATAAAGATCGAGTTTAGTCGTTGCAGGTGATGGCAGGCCAAATTAGAATGAACAGCTAAGGGGTGTTGAAAAGTGAATTTATAGAGTTAAATTAAAGAGGGTGTGAAGTGCAGTGTTGTGAATTTTTGACAGTATCACCCCTGGAACTGAGCAGGTGGCTTAGGAATCTAGAGAAGTACCATGTGAGAGAAGTCATACAATTGGGCCAATGAGTAACAGATTGGAGTTTGGAGGAGAATTTGGAGATGGACCACTAAACAGAAAAGATGTTGGAATAAATGTGAGACTTAGAAGGTAACAGAGGGCAGGGGAATAAAGTTAGGAACTTTCCACTGGAATGCCAAGGGAAAGTCTTTCTGGAAGGGATCCTTCAAGTAGCAACTAAAACTATTGGGTCAGTTTTGAGCATAGTCCTTGAAATGCATATAAAAAGCCCACAGTCAATACTTTGGAGGAACAAAAGATAATACCCTCTTCCAAATAAATTAATCCAGCTTGTTTTTTTTTTTCTATCTGTTTTTGGTGAGACTTGAATCAGTATCAGAGGACTCTTCCCAATGCACTTGTGATCCGTTTTTCTCTTTTGTAAGTCATCTATCTATTTGCAACTTAAGAAGAAGAGTGTATCATCTCTGTTGATATTGAAAAGGAGATTCTTATGTAGACATATGGGCCAAGGGATTTTAAGATGATAATTATGTACCAGCTTTTTAGGAAGTAGTGCCAACAGGTAATTAGGAATGAACAGATCAGAAAGCTGAGTCTGAATGTCTGTCAACCACAGAAGACTGCTGCTCTCTGTGGCATTTGAGGGCCAGTTTGAGTACAGCATGTGAAATAGGCAGGGCACTTCACAGTTCCTGGGGGTTGCTGCTTTATGTTATATGCTAGGTTTCTGAGGGGTTCAGTGGAGGCACAGTTGTTAAAGAACAAATTGTTCATTGAGCCTAAGGATATTGTTTGTAGGTTTGCATTTTGTGTTTATTTTTTTCATGTTGCCCATTAAGTAACACTGTAATATGCCTTTAAGATATTTGGTCTGAGTGATCCATTTTGACATGAAGGTTCTCTTAGAAATTGCCATTATTTTCTCTGATGCTTATCACAGAGACTAGATAGATTGGTAGTTGGTTTATCTTGGTGCAGTTCTACTTGAAAGTCAGAATTGTTTCACCCAGATGTAGAAAGAAATTTAATCCTGATTTTGGGGAAGCCACAAGCTCTGACACCAAGTGATAATAAAATTCTTAGGACAAAACTCACTTAGTGAAGTATCTACCTAATATATACCATATTGTCTTTCAAGAACAACCATATACAGTCTCTGTTATTCTTGAATCTAGAATGTTTGAGTTACATATGGGTGTGTGTGTGTATATATATATATATATATATATATATACACACACACACACACACAAACTGTGTGTGTGTACATGTACAGTACACACACACACACACACACAGATAAAGAGGGAGGGAGATGATGTCCTATTGTCCTATAGACAAGATTCCCACATGTGCCAGCAGTGCATTGTGTGATGCTTATATTATTCTGAGGCAAAACAAAACAAGCAAGTCATATAAATAGTCACTAGATGCGAGTATCTTTGACTTTCCTTGCTTTCACTCCCATATGTAATCTTTTTGTCTATTCCTTTAAAGTTTTGCTGCTCAGGAATTGTTTTATCTTGCTTAGACATCTGTAGCAGCCTTTAATTTTGGAGTCTTTCTCCATGCAGTGGCAACATTGGTCATGATGAGGTGTAAGCCAGGTCATGCCGCTCCTTTGCTGAAAACTTCCATTGCCCTTAGAATACCATCTCAGCTGGGCAGTCTGGTCCACAGTCTCTCTCCAGTCCTGCATTGCAGCCATTCACTCTTAACTCACTTTAATCCAGTCTCACTGATGTTTTAGATCCTTGGTGCTAAAACCTTTTGTACCTCAGGCCTTTTTGCACCTACAAGCCTCTCTCCCTGGAATGGTCACCCTATTCATACCCTGATTAGCTTTTTCTTCCTGTTTTAAAATTTTAATTCTTCAGAGAGGCCTTTCCTTACTACTCCATCCAGTGCAGTTTCCCTAGCACTATTCTTTCTCAGCTCCTTATTTGCTTCCTTCCTAATACCTGGTTTAGCTTGCAACTTTGATCAGTCTACAATTTTGCTTTGAGCTGGTGTTAGATTGGAAGCTCTGGGAGAGCAAGAATCAGATTTTTTTTTTTTTTTTTTTTGTTCATTGATCTCTCTGGCCCCTAGCACAATGCCTGGAACCTAGCATTTGCTTAATACATGTTCATTGAAGATAAATTGGATAAGTGCATTCCTGGAGAGGCATAAATATTGCTTTTATTTGTCTAAAGATTTCCCACATTCTAGCTGGTGATTAGGCATAGCTTGGTGGCTTATGCATATAATTCCAGTGGCTCAGGAGGCTGAGGCAGGAGGATCACAAGTTCCAAGCCAGCCTCAACAAAAGCAAGGATCTAAGCAACTCAGTGAGACCCTGTCATTAAATAATATACGAAATAGGGCTGGGGATGTGGCTCAGTGGTTGAGTGCTCCTGAGTTCAATCTCTGGTACACACATACACAGACACACAGACACACACACATGAAAAAAAGATTTCCCATATTCTAGATGAAGGTCCAGCTGGTTTTCTTGTTTTTAAACTGCACATTTCATTTTCTACTTCCCTGTTCTGCCTTTTTCTCTTGCCATGTAAAATTTGATCCTTTCAATTATTCCATATTGGAAAATGCCTCATAATTTCAGCTTTTGCCAAAGTGGTAATTTGGTCTGGGTAGATGACTCCCAAGTGTATGCAATTACTTGTTACTTACAGGTGATGGGAGAAATTGACCCACAGAGCACAGAGATTCATCACTGACTTCACAAATGCTCCTATTCCAGACAGAGCTCGGGTACCTCTGCCTCAGAAGCCTCATGCAATAGGCATGGAATTGAATAATAAAGAACATTCCTATGAAGAAATAAGCCAAATAATTTGCAGTACTTGAGCACATCAGGGAGATAACATAATTAACAGGTTCATTTAGCTTGGAACAGGATGCTTTTGATTTTCTCCAGCATTTTGGTGTCGATAGAGTTTCTAAAAGGTGGATATGTGTTTGGTCCCTTCCACATTGGGAGTTTTAAAGGAAGCCAGTTAGCCACATGTCCTCTGAGTTCAGCAGTAGCTCCAAGTCCTTGCACAGCTGCTATTCTCAGTGTGGCTGCAGAGCTGGAGACACAGAGAAGGAAACATGTGTGAGAGTGTGGTACTCTGAGCAATCGGGAGGGAGAGGCTGGGGAAGAAAAGCAAACTGGAAGAACAGGCAGGAGAGACAAGGGAATGAGGAGGTGGTGTGGAGTGGGTGGTGGAGAGAAAGTTAGATTGTGCTCTTTCTTAAAAATAATCCTTTTGCCTCCTCCACCGTGCACTTTTTTCCCCCTAAGTTAGCAGCTGCCATCGTCTGAGGGTTGCCCAGAAAAGTGGGTGGGAAGATGGTCCTGGCTGATAGGATCTGGAAACACAGTGTGGCTTCACACCCTCCATGGTTTTGGCCTCTTCACTTCTCTTTTTGTTAGTGTCCTGGAGTATGTATGGGGTACCAGGGGCCACTGTGTTACTGCAAAAACTCTGAAGACGTGTGAAATGTTAGGAGACACAGCTACAGACAGAACATCCTGCTCAGTACGTTGATCTACTGTGTAATGCATTTTGTGACAAGCTTAAACAGGCATCAGTGCTGGGAGCTACCAACTGCCCCTCGCATACAGGTCTGCCTGTGTGGCAGCGACGTGGTGCTAGGTAGGTGTGCACGGACACTCATTTAGTCTTGTGGCATTTTTTAGTTCTTTGGATGTGTACCAGAATTGACGGATTTATGCTAGTGGACATTGTTCTGTGAGCCTGGGACAATGGTTGCCAGTTGGTGATCCAGCTATATTCAGGAAATTGAAACAGAGAAATGGGCAGCTGCTTTTGTTTGGGGCTTCCGGGTAAATGAACAGAGTAGCTTTTCATAAGAGCCAAGAATATTTGGTATTTTGTCATTTGATTTCCCTTTTTCCCAGTGCACACCCCTATGCCCGCTCCCAACCTGACCTCAT